TTAAACAGTCATTAGAAGAAGTAGTTTCAATTATTCCTTAATTACCACCATATACACTGCATAAAAACAAATGTAACCTGTGAACCTTAACCAGATAAAACATTTTCAGAGAACAGCTTAGGCTGGAACTAGCTTTAAAGTTTACCCAGTTCTAACCCCCAGCCACAAGCAGGCTGCCACCCACCAGATCAGGCTGCCCAGTGTCCCAGCACAGCCTTCAACACCTCCAGGAATAGGGCATCCACAGCTTCCCTGGGCAGCCTGTGCCACTGCCCCATCACCTGAGTAAATTATTTCTTCATAATATCTAACCTGCATTTCCCATCTTTAAACTTAAAACCACTTTCCTATGTCCTAAGACTATCAGACCATATAAAGTCACTCACCTTCATGCTTACAGGCTCCTTCAAGAACTGTAAGTATATACTGACTTTTATATATATATATATATATATATATATATATATACAATAACAAAGGTCCACATAGACACAGGCGCAAGTAAAATTTAGCTGCTCAGGTATTACTTTTTAAAACATACTCAGTATCTGGTGTATCAGCAGTATTCTTAAAGATAGACACTAGTTTACCTCCTAATGCTGCCTCCAGCAGCTCTGCACAACTGCTACATTAAGGTGCTCTGCCTAGGACACAATGTAGTACACACATTCAGGAGGAGAACAGCTTCCTGCATCCAACTCTACTGCACGACTGAAGGGGAAACTTAAACTGCAACTGTGCAGCAACAGTGACATGCAACGACAGAATAACCTGCTAATAAGGTCTAACTGCAGGAAGGGTTAAACTCCCTAGAAGCAAAAATGCCAGGGACAAAATAACTTCACATAAGCAGGTGAAGTTTTTCCTGCTGTGGTTTCCCAGCATTATATTACAGCAATTGCAAAATAGTCCTAGGTGCTCCTTCTGGCAAGCGGAACTGGTCATAAACTAAATGCTGAGCAGGGACAGCCTGCGCCAGCACTCACGGAGCAGGGCTCAGGTGGGCATGTTTAGAGAACCAGCTCATGGCACATCTTTGCAGACTGCCTAATGCATTGCTCATTTATATCCTTTTATATTTAAGCACAAATGTGTGCTTAATTCACCTCAAGGGGTGCAGCAAAAACTCTCCAGCATCAAACAGCGTATGCTCCAAAGAACATGCAAGAAACCTTCCCCAAAAGGAAGTTTTAATGAAGAAGTGGAGCAGACTGATCTCCAATTCCAGCTACAAAGCATTTGTAACTGCCACAATAATGTCACTGGGGAATTAAAAAAAAAAAACCAATTCTGTTAAGCCAAAATGTTAAGAAATACACAGAGCAACATATGAGCTAGTAGGGATAAAAATCAATAAAATCATTCTGAGAGCACTTAATGAACTGTAATTCTATCAGTCCAACTGATAAGTTTAGAAAAAAGACTTACGCTTTGTGATCGATGCATTCCACCACTTTTCCAAAAGCTCCTTCACCCAAAGTAGCAACAATCTCATCTATAAAGGAAAGAACCGTCAGCTCCAGAAGTTGTTAAGTTACTCAGCCATTAAAAAAAAACCAAGCAAAACAAACAGAAAAGGCTAAATGCTATCACTGAAGGTTATTCTAGACTGTGCTTCTTTAAAAATGTCAATAACTAGGTTGAGAGATGTTATCGGACAACTCTCATCAATGCACATTTACAGGTATCTCATTCTAACACATTAATTTCATTTACTAAGTTGGGATTAAAAAAAAAAAGGGGGAAAGGAAAAAGAAATACATTTAAGTTCTCCAGAAGAAGATTAATGATCCCCCCCTCCCCCAAAATAAAACAGAACAAAAAGAAAGAAAGAAAAGACTGCCAAAGCCCCCTAACATCTTATGCTAAAAGAAATTACTATATCTGAATGTTAATAAATTTTGAAAAATATTCTATACATCTTGCACTTAGTACGTCTCCACTCTGACAGATCAGGTGACCCTCCTCATCATCCTCTACACTCCTGGATCTTTTCCTTCGATGACTCCTCTGGAACGGCACCAAGATGGTCAGGCCAATCAATAAACCCGAGTCAATTCAGGTCAGAATACGAAATTCATTCAGCGGGGAGATATTCGGGCATTCAGATACACGCCAGGCCACAAACGGTTGGCAGGAGCAATTTCAAATTCAGTCCCCGGAAATTCACAGGGCACATAGTTTATGTTACAGGAGAAAAACATGGCAAGGAACAAATTTTCAGATGAGATACTCAAAGTGGCAAGGCAATAAAAAAATACAACATTGTTTTTTCTTTAAAAATATTGGTTCACTGAATTTTCATTTAGGTTTTCAGTGCCCTTATTTCTTATAGCAAAAGGATTTAATAATTACATCATATAAAACAGCCTCATGGCTAAATGAAAATACCCCTCTTAAGTAATTGAGTTTAAAATGACTGCTTGAATATTCAGTAACAGCTTTTTTTTAAATCACAAAAGTACCATATATATTTACTTTAGGCTGTCTAAACTGAAGATATTAAACCATAAACCCTATCTTCAGCTTTTTCAACAGTTAAATATATGATAACGATTAGAAAAACTGCCCTGCTAGTGGACAGTCTCTGTACTTATCTAAGTCTACAGATTTAATTCAGACCTAAAGCATTTTATTTAATTGGTACCAAGAAACGTGTGAAAACCTAACATTATCTTCTTGCTATTTCAGTGATACGTACTCAAAAGCAAGTCTGAAAGTTTGCATTTGGACTTTTGAGTAGGGCAGAAATAAATATCTGATGTCATAATACATTTTTAAGGCATGAAAGTGATGCCTGCAGAAATATTCCATTTGATGGTTTCTATTCATTAATTGGCTCAAATTACAGCCAACAAACAAAAGGCAAGGCTATATTCCATAGCGTTACAAGCATAACCACAGAGTATACGTTCTCTAAAAAATTAAAAAAAAAAAAACAACAACAAAAAAACAACACAAACTAACAAAAAGAATTATCAATCAATACGAACAAAAGGGCTAATCTACTAACATCATTCACAGACTTCCCCAGACCCCACTCGATTACTGCTGCCCAGCTGGGAACTTATCTCCCTAAGACACAACCCCCTCAGTTATAACTGGACAAACCACCTGTGAGTGATGGTGGTGGTGGCAGGCGCTGTGCTGCGTCCTGTACCACCGCTTGTAGCTGCCCTTCCCGCTGTGGCCCGAGGACCTGCTGCCGTGGTGGCGGTGGGCGCTCTTGTCGTGCTCGCGGTGCTGCTGCCCGCTGTCACAGCCCTGCGTGTGCTCAGTCCTGTACTCCTCCACATAGCGCCTCCGCTTGTGGTGCTCCCGATCATTTACGGATTTGGTTTCTGAACATTTACTACAAGCAAAAGAACACGTAAACCCAATTAAAGTAATTCCTGCATCCCTATAAAGAGACAGAGTTGACCAAGTTGGAAGGGTCCTTAAACATCATCTATGCCAATGCCCCTGCAATGAATAGACATCTACAGCTCCATCAGGCAACTGGAGCCCCAGTCAGCCTAACCTCAACTGTCTCTGAGCACAAGGCATCCACCACCTCTCCAGACAACCTGTGACAGCATCTCACCACCCTTACCGTAAAAAGCTTTTTCCTTATATCCTGCCTAGATCTCTCTTCCTTTAGTTCGAAACCATTTCCCCTTATTCTATCACCACAGACCCCGCTAAGGACTCTGTCCCTTTTCTTCATCGAGCCCCCCTTTGGGTACCAAAAGGCCAACTTCTTCGGAGGTCTCTCCAGAGCCTCCTCCAGGCAGAACAGCCCCAGCTCTCAGCCGGTCCTGGTAGGATAGGAGCTCCCTACGTTGGGCCGTTTTTGTAGTCCTAATCGAGCCATTTCTTTCTGCTTTAGGCAGCAGAACATCAATCTCAAACACTTCCACCGCAAGCTGCCGCCGCGTTCTCCGACAGCCATACCGGAGCAGGCCAACCGCACGCGCAGGCCCGCAGGTACCGGAGCGCCGCAGCCCTCACCTGTGAGGCCTCTTGGCCACCTCGTGCCTGTAGTGCCTGCCCTCCTGGGCACCGCTGGGCGATCTCCGCTTCCCCTGGCGCTCGCTGCCGCCGCGCCGCCGCCCCCACCCGGGCTGGTCGCTGCGCTCGTAATTTCCCATCTGAAACCCACGCAACGTTTTGTTCTTCAAACCGCGCGTCCAGACGGGGCGTCCCACGGAGCGCAGCGCACAGCCCACACGTCCGGCGCACCCACCCTCCCTTCCTCGCCCCCAAACGACCGCAGCAGCCCTGCTTCCCCACAGCCCAGCCCCACGCCGAGCCCCGCCGGAGCCATCTTCTCCGCCGCGGGGCGGGCACACAACATGGCGGCCCGGGGAGGCGGGGGCCTAGAGGCTCCCGACCGCGGCCCCGCCGACGGGCAGGAAGCGGGCCCCGCTCCCTCAGCCCCACCGCCCGGCAGCGCGACCCGCTCCCGTACCTCAGCAGCCCGGGTTGCCGCCGCGCTCTCCGACCGCCGCCGCTACGCTCTCCGGAGCCGCCGCTACCGCCGCGCCTCAGCCGCTCTCAGCTCTCGGCCGCGACAAAATGGCGGCGCCGCGGAGCCTTATGGCGCGAGCCGTGCGTCACACAGCGGGGCGGAGGCGGAGCCCTGATGGGGGCGGTGCTTCCCAGCCGCCCCGCCCGCCCACCGCCGCTCCGCTGCGGGCGCTGCAGGGGTGCGCGCCTCCGCGGGAACCCGATGTGCTCCCCTGCTAAGTTGAGAGAAACAAACTCGTCTTCAGCGCACTGGCAGAGAGGAGTTTTCTCTGTCTGGTACGCGGCTTCCACCTAGGGGGAAGAATTAGCCAGGGTACGACACTTTCTGAAAAATAATAAAGTAAGGCATGATAGTATTGACACGGGAAGGTTTCAGAAAGCTGGCAGTCTGCAAAGGCATTGCTTCAACATCGTACTGCTATGAAAGATGACAGAAAAGAGAGATTTGCAAAAAACCCACATATATATATATATATATTTGAAAGTCTTATTTTACAAGTATAAAAAGCAACGCTTAGAAGTCAAAATCAAGTCAACACACACTCTGAAAACACAGGCTTGAGGAACACAAGGCTCCCCTGTGACAATTCATAAACAACATCACAGCTCCCAGAGCCCCACATTCAGCACACCGAGGCACAGCCCAGCTCCTGTAACCCCGTCTGACGGGGCACCAAACGCCCCTTCCAGCAGCCAGTCTGACCAGCCTCTAAAGAATGTGTCACGACTGCTACAGAGCAAAAGGGTTGGCGTGAATGGTGATATCTTTGATGCGAACGTCATTCAGAGGTCGGTAGGTTTTCTCATTCACAGGCAGCTTCTCCAGCTCATCCAAGGTATCCAAGCCATCAATCACTCTGGAAGAAAAGCAGAACCGCTTGCAATCTCCTCCTACCAACGACTTAACTTCCACAACAGAGGCATCTCAGAACACCTTACAGTTAGCTAAGTGTCGTAGTGCAAGGACTCTGCAAGTAAACGATACAAATAAGGCAGCCAAACACTGCATACGGCACATAACCTACGACTAATCATAGCAGCAACAAGGTACTGGCCACACCGAACTTCTCTGTGCATGACTGAAATCCATGGCTGGAAAATCAATTTCCAAACCCGTGATTATAATCACTACCTTCTCACTCAAAGACAAAATTGGTAACCATCCATAACTCTGTAAATCTAATGGCACAATGGCATCATTGCCACATCTATCACTGCACAGATAGGCAAAGTTCCTGTCAGTGTCCACTCATTTCTAACAAGGATGTCAAAAAACCCCCAACTTTTGATCACACCTCTAAACAAACTCAACAATGAAAGAAACACCTATGCCCAGATGCCTACGAAGAATGCAAGTGGAAGGGAACAGCATTTTCAATTTTCACCCATTTCCTTTGAACATTTAAGTCCCTGGAAAAAAAAACCCACTTTTTCTCAGTAAGATTCACAGACTTAACAACAAATAAAAGAAAAGATATTACCATGATTTTGAGATCAAAAAAGCAGTACTTGAAAGACTCAAAAATTCAACGTGTGCTTTAAGGCTGGTATATTACTAGCAGCTTCTATTAACATGAGAATATTTTAAACTAACAATGCATCTTAAACAATCGCATCCCTGCATGTGGCAGGGGGGTTGGAGATTCATGATCCTTGAGGTCCCTTCCAACCCTGGCAATTCTGTGATTCTGTGATCTCACAAACTGCCAGTTCCACCTACACAGAACCGTGACCATTCACATCTCCAGTTCCACAGCAGACCCTTGCTTCTCAGCAAGCAATAATCAGTGTGCCTAGTTGTTTTGGAGTTTGTGTAAATCAGGCTGCACCCATTTGAGCATGGTATGAGACAGCAAGCAACAACAATGAGCTTAAAACAAACAAACAAAAAAACCCCACACCAACTCAGCTCTATTCTTAAGGTAATTTTTAATAAGCCAGTTTCCAATGATTTCCCTACCCTTAAGACAAACGGAGCAGCATTTTGCAATGACTAATCCTGGTGACAGTGGAAAGCACACTTTCACACATACACATCCAATATTTTAAAGCACTTCAGATCTGAAGCATCTAAATTTTCATTGTATGTACTTCTACGTATACATGTCCATTAAACACTATGACAAGGAGGCATATAGTAGGGTCACTCACTTCCCAAAAACAGTGTACTTCATATCCAGGTGTGGTTGCTTTCCGTAAGTGATGAAGAATTGCGACCCATTGGTATTTGGACCGTTGTTTGCCATTGAAACCACCCCACGGACACTATGCTAAAAGACAGAAAAAAAACTTGAATAACCAATCACCCATGAAAGCAGAACTGCAACACGTACAATGTGTTCAGTGACATGACCACCAAATCACAGAATGGCTTGGAATGGAACTTAAAAGCTCACCAAGTACCAACACTGTGCTGCAGGCTGGCTGCCACCCATCAGATCTGGCTGCTCATGGCCGATCCAACCTGGCCTTGAGCACCTCCAGGGATGGGGCATCCAAGTGGTACTCTTCCTCAGCATCATCATCATTAAAAACCTACCTAGTTGGTTTCAACCAACAACATGGTAACATAATTATGGTATCACAACTCATTAGCTCCTCAAATCTACTTCTGCAATTAAAAAACTGATGCATTAAAAATACTATGTTTCAAATTGTTTCTACTTCTGTTTTCCCTCATGAGAACTCTCAAAACTAACTTGCCAAGTGATAAGATGCCTATTTCTGTTTTAATAACAAGCTTTCTAACTCTTCCTTGATTATACTTCATTTTGCAATTACAAAACGAGTATTTAATGCAGCACAACACTGAGCATACATCAACCTGTAAAGAAAATTAATCTGAAAACATAACAGCACATTGAGAGCACAAAAATACCTTTAGGTATTCACTGAATTCATCTTCAAACTTCTTGCCCCAGATGCTGGTTCCTCCTTTCCCAGTGCCTGACAAAGAAATATCACAATACATTACTGGATTTTCAGATTGGAAAATGCAGCAATAATATAACATTATAACATTTTACAACAGAGGCCCCAGATACACCCTGATGTGCTTGAGCCAGGAACCAGGTTCTTGTGTCTTAATACCAAGTAGAGCCATAATTCTGTGTAATTGCATTTCCAGAAGCAAAACAAAAAAAACCCTGATATATCCTCAAATTAAACTCAGTATGAGTACAAACAGACACATATTTGAATTAGACATTCTCCAGATGCTGATGCTTTAGACACAATGTAGCCTTCCAGGCAGAAAACAGAGAAACTATAGCAGCAACTGTTACTGTTCAACTGCTGGTAAGTCAGCGGAGCCATCATATTCAATGGAAAGAGCAGGAAGATTAAAATTTACAGAATGCTCTATTACTGCAATAGATCATTTAGAACCAGATAACGGCTGCTTCTATATAATTAAAACCTCATATAATTAAAACCTCTATTAGCAACAGAAGATATTTTAAATTAACTTTATTTACATTTTGTTTTTGTAATTATTACTGATGCTTACAATTTCTTTGTATTTCTTAATGTTTTATTTGTTTTACTTTGATATTTATGTATATTTTTCTACAGAGAGACTCTGACAAAAGAATTTACCTAATGGATCCCCTGTCTGAACCATGAAGCCCTTTATATTCCGGTGAAACACACAGCCGTTGTAGTAGTTACTAGCACAAAGAGCCAGGAAATTCTAAGGATACAAAACAAACCATATCAATAAAATACAGAAATAACATTCCCCCTTACTAAAATGGCAAAACCAGAAAGAACACTTCTGCCTCTGCTTGGCATTGTGACCACAGCATTTACCCCCTGTCCCACACCACTTTTGGCTATTAAAAACCATGAACAGCACTCAGGCCCCATTCATCCCTCTTTAGGTTTTTGCCGATATAAACAGTACCAAACACAATAAAAAACATCTATAGGTTATCTGAAAATCGAATAGGCAACAGCAAAGCCATTTGCACATAACATCAACAGATACGATGAGGTCTGAAACAAGTTTGATGGGGTTTCAGAAGTCATAGAGTAGCTTGGGTTGAAAGGGTTAAAGATCATCTCCTTCTAACTCCCCTGCAGTGGGCACAGGTGAACATCATGAGGTAAAACAAATCCAAAGGTCTTGCACCTGGGTTGTGGCAACCCCTGCTTATCAGTACAAGGTGGGGGATGAAAGGAGGAGCACAGTCCAGCCAAAGTGGTCTTGGGAGTACTGGTAGATGGCAAGCTGGACATGAGACAGTAATGTGCCCTCACAGCCCAGAAAGCCAACTGGACTGCAACAAAAGAAGTATGGTCAGCCCACCAAGGGAGGGGATCCTGCCTCTCTGTGCCTGTGGGGCCTCGACTGGAGCGCTGCATCTAGGTGTGGAGACTTCAGCACAGGAAAGACATAGAACCTCTGGATGTGTTAGAGTACATCCAGAGGAGACCCACAAAAATAATCCAACTGATTGAACACCTGCCCTATAAGAGCTGCAGCTGTTCTACCTGCAGAAGGCTCTGAAGATACGTGAGAGCAGCCTTTCAGTACCTAAAGGGGGGGCTATAAGAAGGAAAGAGACAGACTCTTTAGCAGTGTCTGCGGCAACAGAATAATGGGAAATGGTTTCAAAGTAAAAGAGAGGAGATTTAAAGTGGATATAAGGAGAACGCTTTTTACAATAAGGACAGTGAGGCATTGTAACAGGTTCCCCAGAGAGGTGGTGGATGCTTCATCTTTGGAGACATTCAATGTCAGGCTCAATGTGGCTCCAAGCACCCTATCAAGTATAGGTGTACCTGCAGGGGCATTGGACTAGATGACCTCTAAGAGTCCCTTCCAATGGAAAAGATTTTATCATTTTATGATCTATCAGCAAAAGAGAAACAGCTGTAAAACCACAAGTCTTTTTTACAAGCTGTATTTTTAAGAAAATAAAAATGCACTTTGTCTTTAGAGCTCCTGTTTCCTTGGTTTCTTAAAGAATAAAGTTAAGATGGGTTGAGGATTATTTGGTGAAATCCACTGAGTAATGCAATAGAACGGACATACAGAATTATGGTTAAGTTGCTCCTTTGACACTGCCACAGACAAAAAGGATTTAAATAAGGTTGACTGCACAAAGCCATCTTAATTTGAACAAATAAGTGGACTGAGGCATGTCCATAAGTACCATTTGCATTCACATTTTTATTTTGTAAATGCATCATAATTTTGTAATAAGTAACTTCAAGCCTCATATTTTTGTTTAGTTAAAAAGTAACCAATTTCAGTGCAAGCTTAATTTTACTGCAGAAAACTTGGGGTTTCTGACAAACTTGGAGTGATTCTTAATTCTTTTTAAGAAGTCCCATCTGTTTGAGAGCAAGCAAACCAAGGCAAATGTGGGAATTCCAGGCCACATTCCACGTTTCATCTTAAGGGCAAAGGACACTTTGGAATGCACCAAAAATAAGAGAGAAACAACTCTCAAGTAAATACTACCTGGTGAGAAACAGGAAGCATAGCTTTAGGCTCTATGACACAGCACACAAGAATACACTCTCCAACAAGTTTCATGCCAACTTAAAGTGGAATATTCCACTATTTGAAAATGTTAGCTGGAACAGTCACTTCTCCCATTCTATGGTCTTCACCATTACTGCTTTGCTTCAATACTACACAATCCCACTCCTGTTATTCAACTTACTTCACATGTTTTTGGCGTTCGCTCACAGAACAGTTCAATTTTAATGTCTCCTACATCAGTGTGCAGCGTGACAGCCTGAGAAAGAGTCACAAAACATAATTAAGCCAGCAGTGAAATTCTAAGAGCTGTAGATCAGATTTATTTCCTGCTCCTATCAAGAACAGGAACAATTCCCACTACACATAACCGTTGTGTCAGTATTTGACCATAGGCAAGCTACTATCACAAACCTTCCACATTTCCACTGAAATTACCAGAATGCATTGCTTTCAGTTACTTTCAGGCCAAGCCAACTTTGCCATAACAATGCAGAAGCTCCAATTTGTGCTGTTACACTTCAGAGACAAACTGTTCATCTGTGAATTAGACCCACACTGCCATTTCACTGCAAATTTGAAGAATCAAGGTAATACCTACTTTGGGAGGAGCATATACCCTACTGGTTTACAACCAGAGGAAGTGATGGGCATTATTAGACCTGAGCATTCTGAGTGATCAGGCTAACTCTGAATAGCACTACATATAACATGCCCCCACAAACAAGTAACTCTACAAAACCTCACATTTCTCTTGAAAATTTATAAACAATTTTCACAAAATTTTAAATGCCACCTACACAGCCACTGAGGCATGGATCTCCAACCTTTTGGCATGGCTGGGCCACATTGGCAAACAGAAATTGTCTTGGGCTGCATATAAAATATATTATATAATTAAGGTATATATGTAAGAAAACCTTCTTATAAATACATTTTTATTATTAAAAAAAAAAAAACACAGAGAGCAACAAAAACACAAAACCAGTGGGATATTTGACCCTGTTTTTCTCAAGCATAATTTAAGTTTAAATTTCAAATGCTGTTTTGGCTTGAAACAGCACAGTTGATTTTCACCTTGAAGACACACATTTAACTCATTTAAATGAGTGTCAAATCCACCACAAATGCTAAGCATGTGAGCCGTTTTTCATCTTCAAATTCTGACACAAATTTTCCTTTTGATTCAATAAAGGACTTGATTTCAAATCATAAAGTCTTTTTAGCATTTTACCCTGACTTAGACACTTCAGAAAAGTAAATGATGTCCCTATAAATCAGCATCAATGCTTTTAAGGAACTCTCAGAATTGAGAATGATTGGACCATATGAAATTCACTGCTTTGATGACAACTTGCATGATGTCACTGTTTTTAAAGCTTTCACACAGGAATTTTCTTGATGTACGATGCAGTGATATTTCACCAAACTGAGTTGCCGGCGGCCACTGCATCGTCTTCGATTAACTTTATAAATCTCTCTCTTTGATCAACCAGCACTGGGGCACCATCAGTACCTATACCAGACATGCTAACAAAGGTTAAAGAAAATCACATTAATGTATTTTTTTTACTGCTTCATACAAATCAAGAGATTTAGTTAGTGGCACCACAGAAGCCATTTACTCAGTGACATTATATTCATCATCAATACCTCTAATATAAATGCAAGCTGAGTTGTAGCTGTAACATCAGTACTTTCATCTATTGTCAAATAGAAAGAAAAAAAAAAAAGATTTCTTTTGATAGATTTTCCTATTTCTTCCATTCTCTAGGCTAGTGATTTCAGAAAAACCCATTTACTTTTTTTTGTCAGGACAAATTATATCTGCCATAATTTGCATAATTGCTTAATGAACTCATCGTCAAAAAACAGCTCTGGCTTTTTTTGCAACCAGATTCGCTCCCACGTAACTAGCTTTTATTATAGAGTCTGCTTGAGTTGTAAATTTCTAAAAAGATTTTGTTGCACAGGCCGGGAGAAGCATCTGTAATGGCCACGAAGATGCTGCAGACAGAGTACAAACAGTTTAAGACACACAGTCCTGTCTCTAGCTGGAGCTTGCTGAACTGAGAAGCCTGTAAGCATACAGTGCAGTGTGCGCTCAGAGGGCCCCGTGCCTGCATCTCCAACAAAGCTCCGGTAGGAAAAGAAGCAAACTGGGTTACCGATTATTAGCTAAACAAGGTCTGAAATCGGCTGCCTTACAACTGAGAGTTTAATTGAATTTCAGACTGATACAACGGTAAGTTGACCCGTTTGAAACCTGCACTTATCACTGCAAATTCTACACGGCATCAGAGCACAGCACAACACCTGAGAAGCAGAGCAGCCATTCTCTTTCCAAGAGGCGAACATTTCAGCACAGAAGCATGGGAGAAGTGCTACAGTTCTTACCATGCCCGCTCATCAAAAAGCTGAGGTTGATGCACACACAGCAACTGCCTGCAAAGGAAGCACACGACGTTCGGCTCACCCTTCCCCCGGTTCTTTTCGATTCCGAAACGCCCGCGGGGCTCCGCGCTTTTTCACCACAGCGCCACGGGCGGTAACCGCGCGCAACCGCGGGTTGAGCCCCGCACCGCCGACACGACCCGGGCGTCCCGTGGCTCCGCACGCTCGGCGCCGCACAGAGGCGCCCCTGGGCCCGGCGGAAGCGGCGGAGCTGCGGGACTTCCGCCCGGCACGCTCCACTCAGACGCGGAGTTCCGGGCGGAGCGCTTGCCGGCCCGGCCCCCGCCCTCTCCCCCTCCCCGCAGGTTCCGCATGCTGCCGCTCTGCCGGCCCCTCCATCGCGTCCGTGCCGCGGGCCGCCCGCCCTTGCGCTCCCTCATGAACCTCAGCGAGCTCGTTCCCGCCCTGAATGACTTCGCTTCCCTCTCCCTGGCTGAGAGCTGGGACAACGTGGGGCTGCTGGTGGAACCCAGCCCTCCCCACGCCGTGCGCACCCTGCTCCTCACCAACGACCTCACCGAGCAGGTGATGGAGGAGGCGGTGCAGAAGAATGCAGACCTCATTCTCTCCTATCACCCTCCCATCTTCGCTCCGCTCAAGCGGGTAACGTGGAGAACCTGGAAGGAGCGGCTGGTGGTCCGCGCTCTGGAGCACAGGATCGGGATCTACTCACCACACACAGCGTACGATGCCGTGCCCCACGGAGTCAACAACTGGCTGTCCAAGGGACTCGGTGAGACTGTTCAGAACAAAGCGACACTGGGTGCAGTTACTCAGCGGTATTCGTTACATCTGTCAAATTATCCCACGCGGGAGCCTTGCCTCCCTGCTTTCCTTTCCTCGGTGTGCTACAAACCAGCTATGAACACCAGAGGACATTTCCAGGTGCCTGGGTGCTATTGGACAGTCAGAACAGGTGCAGTGTGTTTACTGTCTATCCTGGCTAAAGAGGTTAGGTCACTGAGTTTAAATCACTGCCTGCAATTCATAAATTTATAGATAATCTTATTGTTCCTACATGACTTAAAGTATCTAAAATTCTTTTAGACTTTTATCTTCTGCTGTGGCTTATAAATGAGAACAGCTGTGCTTTTTCCAGCCTGCTTTACAAACCAGAAATGATTTTTTGGTACAATACAACTTGAATGGTATGAAGAGTAACAAATTATATGTATCATTCAACTTACTTGCACTTAGCAGGACAAGAGTCCTGAGTTCTAGTCAGGGAAAATGGATTCAAGTGCAAAATTTGTCCAAAGCTGCACCCTTTTTGGATACGTGCTAAATCAGAATCAGCCACATCATTCAGCTTTCTAAAACCAGTCCTTGCTCTGTTTTCTCAGGTGCCTGTACTTCTGTCCCACTGCACCCATCAACCGCTCCAAGCCATCCGACTGAGGGCACTCACCGGGTAGAATTCTGTGCAGACACTACGGAGCATCTAGAGACAGTGCTGTCCAAAATCAAAGACATCCCAGAGATCTTCTGTCTCACCACTCTCCCTGTCAGGTATATGCTTCACTCTCTAACGTTGTGTTCTTTCTGCTGCTAGAAAATATTAAGTTGCTGGAACTGTGTTTTACTGTCCTTTGTGCAGTGCTATTTTTCTTCAGCAACAGATCCATAAATTTAAAGGATAATCATTCCCTTCTGATCAACCCCTGTTTTACTAAATGGTAACTATCAACTTCATGTAGCATCACAGGGATTAAAGTGATGAAGAGGGTTAATGGTAAATACAAAATAAGAACAGTTGAGTTAAATTCCAAGTGTGTTTCCTCCAGGAGAGCAGACTAAGCTAGACTGTAACATCTTTTTTCCCCCTTTCTCTGCAGCAGGCCTCTGTGACAGAACACCTTTATTTTCTATGAATATGATGTTGAAATTTTATCTATCTCTTAGCAAGTGCCAAACACATCTTTACTCAGGGTTGATGGGGAGGAGCAAACACGAGTCAGTCTGAACTGCTCTCAGAAAGCACTGCTGGAGGTGGTGGCATTATTGTCCCAGAACAGCCTTCTTTATCGCAAGACTGAGGTTCTCTTATTACAGAAGGTAATAAATTTGTATACTGCTTCCAGTGAATATAGTTTGTGTAAGCTAAACGCCCTAAAACTGATTCCCAGCAACTGCTGGCATTGCAGGTTTCCTATGCTGCCTGTCAGTTCTCTGAAATACTGGCCTCTGGGCATTTAAAGCCATATCCATTTTCCAAAACAATGGAAATAACTATGTGGCCTGAACTAATTCTAAAACTGGTTCCAAAAGTTAGCATTGTTAGTATGTTACATTCAATAACATACATATTTTTTTCATAATGTTGAGAATTGTTTCTCCTTAATGCCCAATATACTTATTCTTGTACACTATGGAAAGTAATGTGAACTTCTGGAGTCAGCTTTCTCACAGTAATTTGAATTTTTCTCTTCAGCCTCTTCTTCCACATACTGGAATGGGACGTCTCTGCACGCTGAGTGAGCCAGCCTCCTTGTCAGACATAATTGAGCGCATCAAAAGCCACCTAAAATTACCCCACATCCGCCTCGCCGTGGGAACAGGCAAGACACTTGGTAATCAAACCTGCCAGTAACACTGCCCATCTGAACCAGTATTCCAGGAATACAAGCAGTGTGTGTGTGTAGGTGTGAGAGATACTGCTGCCTTGAACAGGTTTACTTGCAAACATTATGAAGCTTTGTCAAGGACAAGAGACAAAGGACAAGAGACAGCCTTTTGAAAGCAGAATTAGGAGACAGTACTACTTTTCATCTCAGAGTGAAAATGCTGTCTTAGTGGCATTGTTAGTTTGGAAAACAAATACAGTGGAACTTCAGAGTCCTGGAAGGAGCAGCAGCCAATTAAAGAGTTCAAATACCTAAGTAACAACACCTCACTAGAAAAGAACTAATCTGCAGTAGCCAACAACCAGCCATGGTGCTGGAGTTCTCTGCAAACTTTCCCACCCCTTGTAGAAAAATTTCTGCCCATCTTTTTGGTACACAGAGGACTTTGCTTATTATTACAGATGCTCTGGGCCTTTGACTCTTACAAACTGACATTTGTGTCTCTTCCTCCAATAAGTTTACATTGACCCTAAAATTAAGGTATTGATATTGTTTCACAATAACTGTACTGATATGAGGGCTAAACAGAGGAAAAGAAGTTAATTATGGCACCTTGTATCCTGCAGATTCTCCAGTGAAGAAAGCTGCGCTGTGTGCTGGTTCTGGGAGCAGCGTCCTGAAGGGAATGGAAGCTGACCTCTATCTCACAGGTAAGAGACTACGTTGTTTTGTTATCTTTATAAAAATAGGCACTAGGAAAAGAGAAAAGAGAGGGTTGTCTGGCTGTTGAAAGATTTGGCAAGAATGATTACTTGTTAGAACTGAGAAACAGCCGATTACTGGAATAACATAAAAATAACATTAGAGTAGAGGTAACATGGATCAGATGGCTGCATCACATAGTGATGGTTATTTGAAGTAAATGTTACTATACATGCTTTTTTTTTTTTTTTCCCCCCAAACACAAAATCAGTGTTTGATAGCAGAATCTCTTGCAAATTTCAATGTTTCTTCTTTGGCAAGATACAAGTTGTTTCCCCACTTCACTATAGAATTCTCAAACAGAAAGTGGGAAACAATGTTGTCTACAGAATCTTTCCAAGGAAAGTATATAACAACAGCCGCTGTATCTGCCCAAAAGGACACAGTCTATTATCCTCTTTCTGACAGGGCAGTAGATACTTCCCACAGCCTGCTCCACAACATGAAGAATGCCTTGCATCTTGTGCTTAATTCAGTCAAGTTCTTTGGCAAGGCACATCTGGTCTCCTCCCTTATATATAGCACTACAGAGTGGACCCTCAGACAGTTCTTCACACAGCTTCCTCAGCTGCTTTCCCTCATTGTAGCAACCCAGTTGAGCAGACGCATAACACTTCCAAAACCACTCTCTGCATACCATTTCCTGCCCTAAGTAGCAAAATACACCACTGTTCAAAGACAGCACAGAACTTCTGTGGTTTTGTCTCAGAAGTACACTGGGGATATCGGCTGAATGTCCTTCAAGGGACACCAGAATAGGAGTATGTCGTATTCTGACACTAAGCAGATAGCATTGCTTTTCCCCTCATGGGCTTCTTCCCAGCTTCTAGCTGAGATTCTGAACACATTACACAAAGAAATTATTCACCTCAACTACAAGAAATCTACATGACATTTCTTTCTCCACGCGGCAGGAGAGATGTCCCACCATGACGTTCTGGATGCAGTTGCCAACGGTGTAAGTGTTATTCTGTGTGAACACAGTAACACCGAGCGAGGCTTCTTGTCAGAGCTGCGTGACATGCTAACTATCCACCTACAGAACAAAATCAACATCATTCTGTCTGAGAAAGACAGAGATCCCCTCCAGGTGGTGTAAGAGGGAGGAGGAAAAAAAAAAAATGAAGTGAGAGAGCAGAGTCAAGAGTTTAGTAGAATCTTGCACAGAGCTATACAAATGGAAGCTGAATGAAGATGCTCTGAATTGGTCAGTATAGCATTGTATTCTACATTCACCCAATGTTTACAATATAAATTGTCATCTATCAGATACGTAATAAATGCTTGTTTCAGGCTACTGAAAGATGATTTAGTCAATAACTGGGCTCTCACTTGAATGAATTTACTATGTACTATTATTACATATATTTAATAACCACACCATTCAAGGGGGAGAGGGCTAAAATATAAAAATCTGACTTAGCTCCATTTTCAAGCATACACAGCAGTTCTACCTTACTGTGGTTATGTCAATACAAGTCACGCAAATTTTAGCCAATAAAGCTCTCGATAATAGCTAAAGCAGTATTGATCACTGGTTTACATTAACAGTTTTAATAAGACACAGCTCATATGTATATGCAGAGCACAATTCAGGCATTTGGTGCTAGTATTCAATTGCAAAGCCTACAAAAGTAAGGGTGGTGGTTGGTTGGGGATTTTTTTGGTTATTTGTTTTTCAGTGGAGGGTCCCTCTATTGAAATACTTTGGAAGTATTTTTTTTAAAATTTGCTATAACACTTCCCATTCTCAGGCAGATTAATTAAATATGTTTTTGCTCTCTTTAAAAACAATTCCTATACTTGTGGCTCTCAATTACAGGATTACTAAAGCTGAACAAGTAGCATTTCCATTATCAGTAACGATTGGAGGAGTTTGATGTTTCATTTGCTTCCTTTTTTTTTTTTTAAAGAAAAAAATCTCCCAGTTGAGTATCTTACCATCTCTGGATTACATACACACCAGAAAAATATCTAAACAAACTGAAAATACTTCCATTGCAAATTAATAAATATCTGAGTGGCATCTTTTTAAATTTAGTTAATAAAGCTGGCTTACTTAGCTAGATCTTTTCTGTGCTGCATACATCAAGTCAGTGCATTTGAGTCCTGTGTGAACCTGGAACTTTCACTGAAAACTGCATGAAGATTTATTGCAGTAGTTAAAATCATCAGGATTCTAGGAAATATTTCTCCATAACTTGGACTCTCTTTCAGCTGAGGAGGGTCTAAGTGAAGACCATGCCTTTCCTCAGTGGAGCACTGCTAGAAGTACCCTAGTAAAATGTCAAGAAACTGTTGCTACTGAGAGCTACCTAGGCTCTCCCAGTGGTCTCACACACAGACAATGACTTAGAGGCAGTCTCTCCAGAACTTTGATGTGAGGCTGTGACCAAATGCTTGCCACCACAAGCTGTACTTCAATACAACTTAACCACACTGTCAAGCATTTTAACTCCCCTCTTTCATATCTTACTCTTGTCCAATAAAACAACTTAAAACCATGACACAGCCAGCCTGCTTCACTTCAAGAACACGTTCAACCTTGTAAACTAGTAAAGTGATGTGATTTATAGGGAGATCTCAACCCATGCAGTACAAGGGAACTAGTCCTACATCTTCAAACTGACTGGAATCAATTAATTAAATAAAACCTCCATAGAAGGCAGCATTGCTGCAGCCTGAAACAAGTGCTTACGTTTCATTATTCTTGTAGAAAAACTAATTGAATTCTCAGGTATAATGGAAGTGATGCTTTAAAAGTAATTGCACGTCTTCTTCCATTTAAATACCAATGAAGAAAGATAGCTAAATTCAGTATTATCTGAAACTGCTAAGGTGATATAAAGACAATCATTCTTATCAATGCCACAAAGACAGCTAAGGGTCAAAGTGAGGGAAGATTTCTTCCTTTCCAAATAAAAGGGGGCTGCACAGCTGTCAGAGCTAACTACAGCTAACGCAGAGTTGGACAGTTTTAGGGGTTCTGATGGTAGCCTAAGCAGCAATAGGAAGGATCTAATGTGTTTTGCAGACCTTTAGAATTGCAGCCTGTCAAACACAGATGCACATGCCTCCAAAGTAGAAGGTCAGCTGGAAATCATAGAATCAATAAATCGTAGAATCAATAGAATTGGAAGGGATCCTTAGAAGTCATCTGGGCCAACTCCCCTATAACGAATAGAGACATCTACAGTTAGATCAGACTGCTTGGAGCCCCATCCATCCTAATGTTGAATGTCTCTAAGAACGAGGCATCCACCACCTCCAGGCAACGTGTTACAGTGCCTCACCACCCTTACTGTAAAAAGCTTTTTCCCTATAGCCACTTTACATCTCCCCTCTTTTACGTTGAAACCATTTGCCTTGTCCTGTCAGTACAGACCCTGCTATAGTCTGTCCCCTTTCTTCTCATAGCCCCCCTTTAGTTACTGAAAGGCTGCTCTCAGGTCTCCCCAGAGCCTTCTCTCAGCCTGTCCCCATAAAGAGTTTCATACCTTTGATCATTTTTGTGGGCCTCCTCTGGATGTGGCCTAACAGGTCTATGTCTCTCCTACACTGAGGACTCCACATCTGGATGCAGTTCTCCAGGTGAGGTCTCAACAGCACAGAGTAGAGGGGCAGGATCACCTTCCTTGATGGGCTGACCATGCTTCTTTTGCTGCAGCCCAGGATACAGTTGGCTTTCTGGGTTGCGAGGGCACATTGCTGTCTCAAGTCCAGTTTACCATCCACCAGTACCCTCAAGTCCATTTCAGAAGGGCTATGCTCTATCCTTTCATCCCCCAGCTTGTTGATAGTAGGGGCTGCCAAGACCCAGGTGCAAGACCTGGATGGCCAATAGTTTACCACGCTATTTTTCCAGCAGATGTCAGGATGGTTGCAGGCCCCCAGCAGGATAAGAGCCTGCAATTGTGATGTCTCTTGTAGCTAGAAAAAGGTTTCATCAACAGGCTCTGCATGATCAGGCAGCCTGTAGCAGACTCCAACTACAAGGTTCCCTTTGTTGCCCCAGTCTCTAACTTAAGCATAGACTTTCCACTTGCTTGTGGCCATTCTTCTCGGACAAATCTTCACACTATTCTTTCCTTGATGTAGAGGGCAATGCTTCCTTCTCTCCTTCCATGCTTGTTTCTTCTGAACAACTTCTAAGTGTTGACAGCCACACTCCTGTCTTGGGAATCGTCCCACTAGGCTTCAGTGATGGGAGCTATGTCATGGTTTTCTAGTAGCACAGTGCCTTCCAACTCCTCCTCTTTGTTTCCCAAGCTGTGTGTGTTGGTGTAGAGGCACTTTAGCTGGGCAGCCAGCCTTGGCGCCTTCCTGGAGGATAACTCCTTCATTCCTTTAAGTATTTTCCTCAAGTTTCCTTGTTGCCTTCTCCTGTTGTCTCAGATGTGCTGGGGAAGGAAGCTGGAGAGCACTGCTGGCAAGTACCAGTATCCCCTCCTATCACATTTCAGCAAAGTTAAATAACTCCTATATTTGAAAATCAATTTGACAGTGGGATAAGTAAATATCCCGTGTTTCCAATACAAATCAAAGTCAGGCTGTAAACCTCTGTCCTGTTGCTTCTGCCAGCAAGGGGTATACCAGGAGCATACCACTGAGAGTAACAGTATTATTCCATGTGATGTTTTGGTTCTTTTCTAAATATATAATGGCATTACAAGGCATACAAACTGCTATTATTTTTGATACCTTAAAAAAATATGAAATACTTTCCTTAACTAGTTTGAAGTCTTCTGCCCCCTGCACAAGGATTTGCACAGATATTTGACATAATAATGAAAATGAGACTTTTACACAACTTCCAGAAAGATCTCTATCTTCCCATAACATAAAAACACATGTGGAAGATGAGATAAGCTAATGAAAATTAATGAAGAACTTTATTTGATTGATTTGAACAACTACAACATTGAGCTGTAACACAGCTACGAAGTTAGACATTGGAGTCCCTGAAGTCTGATTAGCAGACTACAGTTGATGAAACTAGGGCTTACTTTCACATACCTGAGAAACACAGTGAAGAAAACCTGTGAAACTTCAGCACTCTCCCAACCTCTAAGGGCTACAAAAAGGGAGAGCTTGCTAAGTGGCATTTAAGGCCTCCTCCACAATTAATGGACATTCTTAATGTAAAAAAATACATATAAACAATCAATTTTTGTATTATTATTTTTTAAAGTAAACTAAACTTCACAGCCTCTTCATATTTCCGGATTATAAACTGGAAAGTAGATGAAAGAAGCTGGAACATCTCACCCTCATCAAGAGGTAATCAAAATTGTGATGGACTCAAGTTGTTACCTAAATCCTCTTATAAAAGAATTCCATCTTGGAGAAAAGTCTTTCAGTTCCACTGTCAGAATTTAATAAGTTACCCACAGTATCCCAAACTCGCTCATATTCCTTGTGCAGTCAATATAGATCTCTTAGCATTACAAATCCTAGCTTCTTCTTATGTCAGAAGCCAATCTTGTCTAGCTGGTAAAGGAGTGCCAGAAAGCACTCAGTTGAGGAAAAAAAAAAAAAAAAAATCCATCACTGGTACAAACTAAAGCTCTGACCATCCAGTGGTTTGCACATCACATGAACTGCTCCAACCAAACCTTTATGTCTGGTAAAGAGCAGAAGGCACAGTCCTACCGAGTTAGTTTTCCTGACTGTATAGTTGGCTATGTAGATATGAAGAGAGCATCATCTGAGCTAAGAGACAAAGCAGATAAATCTAACTTCAGAGCAAGAAACAGCTTGCTTGAAGAAGTTATCGTTCCAAACTATCTGAAGTAGATGAACAAGAAACATCGTTCATTACAGTTAATACATTTCAGTAAGTAGTCCAGCAGCTTTGAGGCTGAAGAGAAAGACCTGGGTATAGGCCCCTCTCCAGCAGCCCTTGAGAGCAATTGCCGTAGTTGTTTTGGGAACAGACAGACGTTATACATCTTCATCCTCTTTCTCTAAGAAGTCAGTCAAGGTACTGTCATCTACGGGTATTAATAAGTACTCCACACCATCAGCTCCCTGAGAACAGACACGCAATACACATTCTGTTAACATCAGTGCATAGTGCAATGCAAGCCATTAGATTGCACTGCAACACTTTGAATCCTTACAGCCAGGGTGAGAGCTGGCAAGCATGTGAATGACTGCATTGCTAAAACCAGGAATATTTCCTTAGAGCAACACTGGAAAAGCACAAATACTGAAAAAATGCAAAGCTTCTGGTGGGCTATGCTATTTTATCACTACGCACCTCCTCAACAGCATATTTCCACATCTAGCATTGCTACAGTGCCTCATTATTAGGACTCTGCACTCTTCTGCCATGCAAATATAGGTAACTAATTGAATCACACTGTCAAGCTCCAGTGTTCATTACTTCTCAAGGTCTTCAGGAAGTTGTGTTCCACAGACACCTGTAAGTTGCTGAGTTAACTAAGCCACACTGTTGGTTTTTTTGTTTTGGTTGTGGGCTTTTTGCTTGTATTTATAGCCCCCTATCCATACGAAGGGTGCTCACTAATTAAAGTTATGGAAAGAGCTGCAATTACAAAATCTCAGCTATTTGCTAGCACCCACTTGTGTCTTAGGTATACTTTTAAGGAATAATGCAGCTTTTTAAGATAACTGATTCCCCAGAATTACTGTCTTCCCACAACTCACCCTCTTGGTCCGAATGAGCTTGTGGTCCCTGAATTCTGTCAGCTGTGCCCTGAGCGTTAGGTCACTGTTTACAAGGAAGGCCTCTCGACACTGCTGGTAGAAGTCTTGGAAAGAGAGGCCTGGAGACAGAGAAAGGTGAGAACAAGGATCTGAAATGGTAAGTGTGTCTAACTATAAACGTTTTCCCATCTACAAATGTTGCTTTGGCTTACACCACTATGTTTACAGCAACAACATCACTTCAAGTACACAGCCAAGTTAATATTTCAGTAATCAACAGAAAACAGTTGATTTAGCATTCCAGACACCCTGTCTGCCTAATAGAATTTTAATGGCAATTCCCAGTATAATCTCAATTTCCAACTCCTCCACCTCACTTCCATCTTTCTGCACCATTAACACGCTGCTCATCCTCTGCTGCATGTGTTAAGACCATGATAATGTATTCCACATGGATCCTAGAGAGCAGGGACACATTGGAGATTACTTAGGAACAGCATGGAAACCAAATCTCCTGTTTTTCCCTGGTTCATCAAGCACTACTGTTGTGCAAGCTCATATTCTCCCTTGATTTTAATTCTGTAGCCCCACAGTCCCCCCCAATGGTCCCAATAATGTCTAAACATGAAAGCAGACAACAGTAAGAGGAGGCTAGAATCCAGCTAGTCTATCCAGCACTAAGAGAAAGATGGTCTATACCACTGAGACACACTGAACCAACAAGTACAGGTCTTTTGTTGCTGCTCATGTAACCCTTACACTAAAAGCCAGTGCCACTGTGGCTGAGCTAGCGATGCCACCCCAAACAGGCAAGGAAACAGTAGGTATGCACCTGGGTAAGATGCGTTGTCCTTGTTCTCCAGCTGGTACTGAGCAAGCAGTCTGAATATTCCCCTGAGCAAAGAGATGAGAAGGAGAAATCCAAAGAAAAAAATATTAGCAAATATTTATTTATTTTTCTCTCATCACAAGGAATCTGTGCACACATGCTGTTGCTGGCTAAAGCTTGCTTCCACTTAAAGTAATCAATCACATGAAAACTAGGGTCCCATCATTTTCACCTTGAAAACTGCTGTCAGAAAACAGGGATTGCCTCCTGTTTGGTGTATGCCTAACAGTTAACACAGAAGTCCAGAGTAACCTAGTGAAGACTGGTTTCTCAGTAGGTGCTACTGTGAAAGACTATCAGCGTCTTACCTGGCATTGGGAGTGAGGCTGTGCAAGACGTGTGTTAGGGAGCTCAAAGCCAAAGATCCAGATTGCTGTACTAACAGTGAGTTTTCATAAGATGTTTCTTCTACATAAGGACTAAATGTAGTCGTTTCATACCAAAGCCAATTGTAGAGGCTTTGCTTTGCCTGATCCCACACTAGACAGAGAGGAAAAAGAACAGACAAATTGGAGGGTTAGCTTTTTTTAGGTATTAAATAAGCAATATTATAATGTACTTAGATCTACTGTAGTATTTGAGGAAAAAAAAAAAGCTTGTGAAATTCACAGTACATGCACCCAGATGCTGCAGTTCAGGCAAGACAATCCTCTGCAATGGAAAATTTGCACGCATCCCCTTTTCATACCAGCTTCATGGATATGCTGTAAATCATTCCAAAAATCAGCAGTGTGAAAAGAATTTTGGATAAAATTGTTAAGATGTAGTGACAAATGTAGCATCCAATCTCCATTTCAGTAAGTCACTAAATAAAAGGGTGCCACAGGCTTGGAGGTTTTTTTGCTTGTTTTGTGAACATTGTTGGTTTTTTCTTGCTTTTGTGGTGTTTGTTTTTTTTTTTTTCTTATAATCAGAGACTGGTAGTTCTTAGCATCTTTATACAGTTTGGGTTGCACAAAGCCACAGCTCCAATCAGGGCTTCCAGCCACATCAGCCATACATACATCACCAGGTCTATTTTGCACACCAAGAGTAATACATGAGCTTATGAAACATGCTCAGCGGGCCCAAAGTAGAATGTAGATTCTACATCAGGCCCAAGAGGACTCACTGAGAGGAGCATTGATGTGATCGATAGAGGCAATGAGGTAAATGCTAGGCAGAGAGGATAACTGTGCAAGGATCTGCTGACTTCTTTCTCCTCTCAACATCTGGCTGTCCAGGTTATGAATGAGGACATAGAGCTCTAAAGATGAATCTGCAAGGTCAGAAAAAACAGCACAGAACCAATCAAAGAAACTGTACACAAAGCAGTTTCCCATTCCCAGTGCAGTCTAGGACAAGTCCATTCCATCAGCTCCACATTCACCACTCCAGTATCAAATGATTTTCTTTGTACAGCTTACTTTGATTCCTGTACCACACTCTGTATTTTTGATAGCTAAAAGGCTTTCTCTCAATTTATTATATTTCAGTTTTTAATCACAGGTGCTGTTCTTCCTGCAGCTAAAGTTTTTATTTTAAAAAAACAACAAACAAACCTTTCCACTTGCTCAGTGTATTACCAGGAATTGTCCTTTTTCAATACGGTCTTTAGCCCTGTGATTCAGGTCATTCAAATGTATTTCAGGAGAGAAATCTAAGCACAGTTTGTTCAGCCGCTTTTGAGTTACAGAACTAGGATCCTTAAGCCCTCATAAAATGGAAATACACATATTCAGGACTGGACCTGCAGCACACTACCTTAATTAGAAAAATTTCCCCTTGAGCACTCAGAGAAACTTATAAAGACTTAGTTTGGATAATGCAAATAGTAGATGTTAAGATTTCCAACTTAGCTTGTTGCTGTTATACTCAATCCCAGGAAACAGCTTTTTCCTGTTTTTCCAGAAAGAATTCTGTAAGAATAGCCTGTTCTTGTGCGCATGAATACACACTTGGCTGCCAATGGAAACCAAGAGTTTCTCAGACTCCCTGTCAGATCAACTGTAATAAATACATGAGACTGATGTATGCAGATTCACGTGTGTACTACTGTAAATCAGTTAATCTTCTTCCCTTAGTTCCACCAGAAACATTGATAGGGATGAAGAATGAAGTGTATGCTTTTTAACATTTTTGTCCTAGAAAACTAGAATTCCACAGCAATAACCTATGTATGCATAAGCAGTACAACCTATATACAAAGAGAATTCAGCAGCCTTTCAGAGTCTCTATACACATTTAACTTTGATTTTGAAGCCATTTCTAAACTGACACTTCTGTCTTTTATTTCATTTTCATGTCAGCATTTACTTATTAAATAAGTAAATTTAATATTTAACATATTTTACATGTGTTAAAATTACACTACTATTGCTCTAAGCAGTTAACGTGACAAGCCTTAAGTCAGCTTATTCTAATATTTTTAGAAAGACCCTTCCCCATCACCATAATCTTCCAGAGAAGCCCAAGGGACTTGAGATCAATCAGTAAATGTCATTCAAACTGTCTGCAAGTTCTTCATGCTGCTAATTACAGAGAGGTTTATGTCAGGTCCTCAAGCAGTGACTCAGAACCATCTTCCCTCATGTAACTGCAATTTAGCTATCCCATGTTCCATCATGAAACATGGCTACAGAAATACCATGTAATTAAAGCACAGAGGCACCGTGCTAAATGCAAAAGAGATGAGTATTTCTGTTTGCCAAGGGGCTGAATAGCCTCTGGCTTACCAGAATATTCACACCCTCCTCAATCCTTTTCTACAGAATTCTCTGTGTTAAACGCTGACAGCTTGGAAGCAACATACACATTTATTCCTGGTCATCAGTAGTGGCATAAACTGTGAGACAAGAAAACACTAGCTACAACAGACTAAGCAACTGCAACAATATAAAAAAAATAATGACCAAAGAAAATGTTCAGGTGTTCCTAAAATTAAACAATGTCTACTGTTTACATGTTTAAATATATATCATTTTACCTTCTTTAAATCTTTTCATGATGAATTCAAGTTGATCGAGTGGGCTGCGAAAAGTTCCTATATGGTCCAATACCTCCTCTGTGATAGAGTTGAGAACCTACAACAGAAAATAGCAGTCACCACTGCCCCTTCTGAAGGGCGCTGGCACTGAGGGACCTAGTGCAGAAAATCTGAAAGTTAGTCCTTGACTGTCATGACAGAGATACTGTGATTTTTACCGTAAGTTTCCCCAAACAGTCAAAATAAACACAAAACTGCTGCTCCTTCTCAAAACTATGACATAAAATAACTCTTTAGACTGATGAATACTTTACTGATAAGAATCACAGCATTTCTTTTGAAAATGCAATGGTTCATTTCTTTGAACTCTTAAAAAAAGATATGGGAATTGTTCTTCATTCAGGAGTGTGTTGCTACAGGATGTAGGAAGCTTTCCTTAGCATTTTACACTGAAAGCCTTTAGAGGTATCTATAAGACACAGTGGCTAGATAAAAATGAGCTTTTCTCACACTTACAGATTTCACAGTGATGCTGGGGAAGTATCCATTAACCACAAGGTGAACAGAATCCTGGAGCATAGATGTACGAAATTTCTCTAATAAATCATGTTTCGAGCCAAGTCCATAAAGCACGATATTAAAACCCAAGCTGAAGAGAACAAACATACTGAATAAAAAAAAGTACAAGTCTATACATTCTGATTATCATTAAGTAAAATGATCCATTGCAATCTTGCCTCTAAAAGTAATGTTTCTAGGGAACGTCAGCTTCAGGCTTAACTTCAGCTCACAGTGGACACATAACAAGGGTTGAACTAAATGATCTTAGTGGTCTTTTCTAACAATTCTATGATTCTATTCTATCATTCTGTAAGGTTAGCTGCAAGAAATCTGATATATGGCACACACATTCTAGTTAAAGTAGCCTTTTAGCAGACTGGAGACCCAGAAATTCAGTGAAGTGTCTATGCAAAACAATAGGATTGTTTGAGAATGATACTAGAACTGCATCTTCAACATAATGAAGGCTAACAAACATTTAGTCCTTCAACACATGATTACATTAAATGTTTACCATGGGTCACAGTCACTACAAGATCTTTTTGAGGAACAGGAAAAGCATCATCTTGAATAGAAGTAAGAGTCGGGTCACTCAAAAAGTAGTGAACAAAGGTAAGGTGTTGAACAACCGTCACTGATTTCAATATCACATATGGATGAGTTTCTCCAACCTGATGCATACATCCACAGGATGCTGCTGACATGAGGGTAAATTTACTGGCAGTGTCTGTTTGTTAGGCATCTTCAGTAGTTCTCACTAGATACTTACTGTAATTGCAGCATCCACTTTGAAAACAGGGACTCATATTGCTGGTTTAACTCTTTAATTTCAGCAGCATAGGCAAGGGGAGATTTTTGCAGAAGGTCATGCAATGTTTGCTGTGTTGAAAAAGAGTAATTCAAAGCTGAGAAAAACAGGATGTATGCCTGGAGTCTTTATAAATACCCTTCCAATATGCTCTCTAGCTAGGGCTTTCACCAATGGTACACACAATTCACGTTTCTCTATGTACTCCCCTGTGAGGACTAAACATAGTTTTGCTACTGGAAAAAAAAGTAGCAGAGTAAATGACCTTATAATGGGAAATAGTAATCAGACTAGGACTAGAAATGAGATCTGTGCCACTACTGCACCACGTTTTACCTTTTCCTGCTGAGTACAGGAAAACCATTACGGAAACTCATGCTCATGACATGCTCAGAACTTAAAAGAGCATGAAACACTGCACTAAGAAAATACCAACACCACAACCTTGTTCACAGGAACAAGGGCTCCAGTCAACATGCTTAGCAACGATTCATATGTTTGTGTCTGCAAAAGAATGTTTATAAATATCATCAGAGAAAATAAATATAAACATAGCAGAAAGGAAATAATTTGAAGCCAACAGCAAAATATCAAGAACCTAAGGATTAACTTAGCTTTAAAAAATGTGCTGAGATGTTGCTGTTTGAACAGCACAGTAACATAACAAATGATATCGCATCTACACTGGCCTCCCCTTCTCTTCAATTTTAACAGCTTTGCTTTTCAGGTAGTAAATAGTTTACTCTGGAAAGAACACAATAGGCAGCTGCAGTGTATGTATCAAACATAAAACACTGAGAGACAGAACTGTTACACCTTTCTTTAGTGCCATCGAGAGATCTAATACTGAAAGCCTTGATTTTGCTCCAGAGTTGTTATGAAACAACTTGTTAAGAATCTAAACATTTACTCTGGGTAGCAATTCTAGATGACAACAGGCATTAGGCATTCTCCATATACACCACCTTTGAAAAACAAGAAGGGCACAAAGAAACAGTCATAGACACAAGAGTAATCCATATATTTTGCAAGCTTTCCTGGCACCTGTATGTACTCATCTCTCTAAGGTACAACTGCCTACTTTGAACTGGCTGTAGAAGTGGCATATTTGGGGGGAAAGGAACAACAGATCAGTAGTTCAGTCACATTTCAATAATTTATTTATTTGAGGAACTGAAAGGAGATAAAGCGGTTATCACTTAGTTTTGAATCACTTAGTTTAGAGCCGTCCCAATCCTGCACAGGGCTTGACTCGAAAACATACAGACAAAAAGGACTCCATCTCCTCAACATATAATCAAGACCGATTATTCAGTTGAAAAAATGCTGGTTTGGTAATAACTTTTACAGCAGGTCTGTACAACTCTGCTTATTCTCCAAAATCAAATTTTAACCTGTTCTAGTAACCTAAGCTTTCAACTATCTGCTCACCTGATAATGCCTTCTCCCTGCACTTCCCCTTCTGTCTCAAACCCACTCAGCTGGGCAACAGCCCACTGGCACGATTCCTGCTCAGAGCAGGGAGGCATAAGGGAGGTATGATGCTTGAAATGCTACCTAACCCCTGCCTAAATCATTGAGAATTTCATCAGCAATTAAACTGAAAACAGCAATATTAGGCAGCTTTGATGGGGGAAATCTTCAAAGAAATCAGAAGCTCTGTTATTTATGTGATTCACTCTCAAGTGTACCTGATTCAATCGTTTCCTCCGTAACTTCTGCAGCGTTCGGTCCGAAGTGAGCACTTTGGAACTACTGTGAGCTTCAAAGTATTCCTCTACGAGGTTGTTCTAAAAAGGGCCAGGAAGATCAATCAGCCCTTTACTAACAATTTACCCTTCTCCCCTTGCATTCATGAGCATGTCTGAAGATGACCAGTATGAGTTACCTTCTGGATTTCTATAAGTCCTTACTCTATATTTGCAAAAATACAAGTATACAAGTAGCATTCTGCCAAAGCTAACCCATTCAGATGGTTCTTTCCCAGACATAAAAACAGAATAGAACACATTGCAGGAGAATCCTCTGTGCTAGAAGAAAACAAAGCTGAATGCCAAGCCAGCCAGAAAGTAAAGCGTGATTCTTTTGGCACTACAGGAGTCAATTTCCTTATCATTTCTCAGCACAAGGTCTCCTCCTTCACAGAAATCCTAGACCTTCTCATTTTGTAGCTGCTGAGACTGTATTAGCCCACAGGCTCACACAATGCCCACCTAGTAGAGATTGCTCACAAGTACAGCAAAAGCCAACACACCTGGTTTGATTTGCAATTACTTCCCCAAGTGTGTTCACTAACAGCACATTGTTACTGAACATCCCTTCACTTTTGCTGGCTCAGAGGTGTTCTCTGCACACTCACCATGTTGTCTTTTTTTTTGGTTAGGGTTTTTCTAGAAGGAGGCGTAGATACGGCCTTAGTTTTTGCTGGGGTCTTCTGATGTGATAAAACAGTGCTGACTTCTTTCTGGGCTTCTTCTACCTCCTCCTCTTCTGAGCAGGAAGCAGAATATTCACTCTCGCTTTCTAACTGAGCATCGGGAGCTAGGGGAGAAACTTAATGTTAAAAGCAATCAATGAATTCTTACACAGAACACACTTTGCACACACACTCGCTCTCATACATTCTCTAGACGGCTTTCAAGCACATGATTACTAAGAATATTTCAGAGAAAAGTAAAAACAAAGCTTAAGAGGACAGCAAACACACAACCATTTTGTTCCTAGTTTTCAACTCAGAAATTGTGTAGTAAAGTTCTGCCCTTTTATACCAACTAAGAAACATAATCCCATCCTAAAAAGTGAATTAAAATGGACAATCAATTTTCTTATTTCTCTTAGCAACTCTACATCAGCTTTCTACAAATGCCAATCATGCAATCTGGGTATCTTCTAGTTCACACTCTGCAAAAAGAGGTTTTGAAAACATCTCTGTGAACATGAACAATGCTGATTCAGTGCACAGACAGAACCTGGCTGAGTCTTGGTCTCTCAACACAAAAGAACATGAAATGTCACACACTGAACTCTCCTCTGCTCTCAGCCTGAGCATGTGTAGCTAACCAGTTACTGAAAAAAATTACCATAAGCTGCTGTTCCAAAGTGAAGCATCAATACAGGTAGGATTGCTCAGAGTTTTGCCTCTTCTGATCACATCTCTAAAGCTCAGCAATTGGGTGCTTCTAACCCTATTCCTACACAGCAAAACGTATGGAAAAGATCTATGCAGGCTTGCCCTAGGGATATTTCTGTTCACTGCAGGACTAATCAGACTGCTTCAGTTTGGCCGCTGCTACAGGCACAGGTGAAACACCCTCCTCTGAACACGGTGCCTCACTGACTATGGAAGCTAATTACAAAGCTTCATCATTACCTGCTAGTCTCCTTCGGAGCCTGTAAGGTGTGGTAGACACAAATTCATTCTTTTTGGTCTGTATTAGCAGAAAAAAAGAAGAAAAAAAAACAAAACAAACACATGCATTAGAAGGAAATCACACATAGCTCCCCAAAACAGCCTTTCACCAAGTGAAGAGGAGAATCAAGTTTAATTTCCAAGATATTTCAGCCAACAGGAAACTGGGAAAGCAGAAGCAATAAGTCTAGAGAGCTCCCATTCACAGCCGGAGAGAGACAGGATCAGGTAGCAAAAAGGGCTTAATTCTTTTAACTAACATCCTGGGATAAAGAGTGGAAAGCTATGAAATCTTTAAGCAAGGTGCCAACTTTGGCCCCTTAGCAAGAGTCAAACAGAAGACAAATTGAAAATACTTCTGCTTCCCTAAGCAGTCATTTATCTTCTACATCCTTGTTAATCTAGTCAAAGCAGATGTGGCATCATCAAGCTGTGAATGTGGCATCCCAAAGCAGCATCTCTTACAGGCACTTCCCATCCAGGAACCTTACTTTGCAAAAAGTTCTGCTCACATTTCTAGAGTGATGCTATGCTGTTTCAGGAACTCAGCTATTTCACAGCACTTGCTTTCTAACCACAACTGGCACGTGTAGACTGTACGTCTTTATACAATCATGAAAGAAGACATCAACTTCTGGGGCATCTTTCATAGTATGATAATTCATGTGGTTGTTTTTTTTTGTTTTTTTTCTCTTCTTTTTTTTAATAAACAAATGCTAAATTAAGAAATGGAACAGCATCACCGTTTTTAAGTTATTGTTCTACCAGCACTGCTATCTTTATAACTAAGGTTGTTTCTTCTTTTGATAAGAAAGTGGAAAGCTATGAGTTTAATTGCATGTGAAGAGATTGTTTAACATTCTCATTTGTGCGATGGAAGGAAAGTCTTCACCCATGCTAATTAAGCTGTCAAATTCACTGACTGGCACAGACTCTCAATTCCATAGCCTTGACGAGTGGCAGTTTTGGTTCTCACTTAAGCTACCCCTGCCCACTCAGATTAGGAGACATCTATAAGGTGGGTGAGGCTTTTAAGGGTCTTTACTTTCCAGAACTGCAGCAATTTGTCAGTTCAAGCTTTAAAAGTGTTGGGGAGGAATATAATAATAAATCAACAGAGTATCACTCACCTTCTGCTGAACTTGGTTTGAACTTGAACGTTCTGCAAGGCAAGAAACAGCATAGTTCAGAGCACTGCATATTTTCAGAGGCACAAGATGCTCTATTAAAAAAACAGGCATCCATTGATCAAAGGTATACTACACAGAATATCAGCTCCCTGAGCAGTACAGGGGAAGTTATTAGATCCCCACAGGCAGGCAAGGAGAAAACAAAGACAGTGAATGTTGTTATCACAGAAGGCAGCTCTTAATTTGGCCACAGCTGTGGGAAGCCCTCGGCAGGAGGGGACTGACAGACACTGAAAAAGGAACTAAATGCCCCAATGCTGAGGGCAGACTGAGCACAAAGCAACACACTTGCCAATCTTGACCTGCACTGACTTTTTTGCACTTTCATTTCAAGCACTCAATAATGGCAGGCAGAAAACTATATAATAAATTATGAAGTGTCCTGTTTTCAGTTGAGATGGTTAACTTCCTTCCCAGTAGCTGGTATGGCATCATGCTCTTGATTTAGGATGAAAATAATGTTGACAGCACACTGATGTTTTGGCTGTTGCTGAGCAGTACTTATACTAAAGACCTTTTATCCTCTCACGCTGCATTGCCAGCAAGGGGGCTGGGAGCACACAAGGAGGGAACAGTACCAGTACAGCTGATCCAAACAGGCCAAAGGGATATTCCATATCACATTATGCCATGCTGGATAATAAAGCTTGGGCAGAGGGAAGAGATGGCTGGGGTGGGCATTGGTCAGCAGGTGCAAGTAATTGCACTGTGCATCACTTACTCTGTATATTCTTTTATCATCATCATCCTCATTATTTTCTTCCCTTATTTTTCTGTCCTAATTGTCTTTATCTTAGCCCACGGGTTTTAGCTTCTCTTCCCCATCCCACTGAGGGGCAGTGAACAAATGGATGTGTAATGCTTAGAGGCCTGCCAAGTTAAACCACAACAGAAGTTACACACTAACATGCACACAATCCCACTCACAACTCATCTGGTGCTCAACACATCAGCCCAGCTCATTAATTCAAGTCCAATCATCTGTGTTGAACATGAATAAAATTGTTATATATTGTCAGACAGCAACTGATGAGTGAGAAGTTCATTTTCTCTGCACCAGCAGGAAAGAATATAAGATGCAACAGACAAGTGAACAAAAGGCCATGCAAATTCAACCTACAATGTTAAATTGACCAGAATTCTTAAGCATCTGCTTCACCACACAAAGAGGAACCTGTTCACTCAGCTTCAGTTTCTCACAGCATCATACACTTACTGCTGCTTTGAGGGGTTCTGGCTGTCTTCTCAGGGCACTCAGAGGGATCAGGTACAACACTCTGTCCTGGTGTCTGTGCTAATTCAGAGGCTGTACAACATAGAAGGGAAAGAAGTTTCACACACCAGATACAAAACTTCCAACTTGGGTTTGCCAGCAGTGAAGTCATACATCACAAGAAAGTTTAAATTTTAATTTCCTAGCTATTTCAGAAAGTGCATAAGATGCTTTATTTTTTATTATTTTTTCTAGCCCTAAAGATTAATGTAACACTAGACAAAAATTTTCAAAACCCGAATTCCTCAGTTAATTCATTTCAAAGTTCTGCTTAGGCAATGACAGGGCAAGCTTTGCTCTCTGGGGTACTGCCTATCTTCAAAATTAGATAAATGCTCTGTTATGCCCAGTCAGTTCTTTAACACTGCTTGACTGAACACACCAGAGCAGCAGTTAAAGCAAACACGTCAGTCCACCAGGATGCAGGTTCTTGTATTCTGCTTACCTCTTTCAACTACTTATCAGCTCAAGCTGAAGCTGAATCACTGACCTGAATATGGAATGCCCCATCTAACAGGTCACCAACAAATACAGCCTCTTACTGTATTACTTGCCTAACAAGTTACTATTACTTATCTTCATATCTGTCAAAGCTCAGTTTTGACAGTGTTTAGCCATCTCTGATGTCCAAAACCCATCCATCTCTTTAAGTCAACTCCAAGTTCCAATTCCAGCCTGCTAGACTAAAATAATCAGCAACTCAACTGCAGGGTGTCTCCTGAAAAGGGAAGGCCTTGATTCATCACCACATACCAGGAGGGTTCAGTAGTATTGGTGAGGAACTCTGGGAAGCAGTTTTCAAACTGAGCTGCAGCTCCAAGAGGGAACACCAGGGAAATGTATACCGCTGCAAAGGTGCAAGAAACAAACTTCCCTGATACACAGCAGAAGCCCAGGAAAGATAAAGAGAGATGGAAACAACAGATTCTGTATCATGATACGGAAGGAAATTCCTTCTCCTCTGCAGAATACAACAGTAGCTGTGAAAACCAAAGACCGCTAGAGTTCAGGTGGTATTGGGCAAACAAAGGCCTCTTCACGTGAAAAGAAGAAATGTAGTGGCACAATGGTCCAAGCATCTTATTTGGGCCAGAAAAGCCCACTCTTCAGCACAGCTTGTTTCTTCTAACAACCAGCCTAGCAAGCACACTGACAGACACTTTGTGCAGGAGAAATCCCCTTCCACAAAGCTAACACTGCCTTTTGGGTTGTTGGTTTGTTGGTTTAAATTCTTTGTTACATAACTAGTTATTCTCACATATCCTCTGAAGATACAAAAATAAAAGTCCTGCCATCCTTGGGCACATACATATAAGCTCTTCTCACAGCATTAACAGACTTCTAGTTTTTACATATTTATTTATTTTAAGTATCTCTTATTCACACCATGCCTTTGCTTTGCCCTAGTGCTGAGCTTCTGTTTCTGAGGAAAACCAATTCAGAGCTGGATAAAAGCTATTGGAATAGTACAAGCACATAACTTGAATGAAAAGAAGATACAGATCACGTTAATAGAGATAATCAAAAAGATCATAGCCAGAACAAGATGGAAGAAGAAAGAGAAAAACATACCCAGCTCTGCCATTTTGTTGGAGCGTTTGGGAGTCTGGAATGTGTAAACTTCACCACCACCTACGCTTGAGCCATTTGTCATTGATTCTGTGAATAGAAACGTTACTTGTAACTGCTTTAAAAGTACAAGTACACTCCCAACCCATGGAATAGGAAAGGTGATGATTTACTGTTGGGCTCAAACAGTAGCACTGTAGGTGCTTTGAAAGCAGTACCATCAAACAAATTCTAGAAATCAATATCCTCTCCCTCTGTTACCACAAGCACAGCTAGAGTTAGCCAGCCCACAACAGCAATTTCATAAACACTATGCAACTCGTTGGGACAAAAAGAATCTCCCAAAGTAACATCTGTGGTATGTTCCTGTGCCCCAGGTACCTTCGCCACATAAGCCTAAAACAGCAACATAGTTCTTCTCCTCCAGGATCTCCTGAGCTTCATCATCTGAGATAGCCTCAAGCTTCTTTACAAATCTCTTCGTATTGACTATCAGCTGGCTTTTGCCTTTCTGAACTTTAACACCTGCAATTACAATAGAAGATTTTTTTTTAAATGAAAGCTGTTATATCGTTATGTCCACTGGAGTACTATGCAGCTACCCCCCTTCACAGACCAAGCTACTGTTGTGCAAAATGCTATACAAACGCAAAATAGAAAAGGTTTGCTGCTAATGGAACAGCTGGTCTGTATCAGGGCAGTCAGCTGCCCCACAGCTGTCAGTCCCTCCTTTAGTAGGGAAGCTGATACTGCAGGTAAAAGGAGGACAACGGCCTCATTTCAGCACACACCTGCTTCCACTTTGGGAAGAAACGGCAGTAACTCACACACACAAGATCCAAATTACATGCAAATAGGGTGCGTTTAGCATCCCCTGCCTTGCATGGGGGTGGGACGCACACTAATTAGAGCTAGGTACCGGCTACCAGCACGCCCACAGACAAATTTAGGCTGAGACCTCTGTAAACCACTCGTCTGATCCCCGCTCAGAGCAGGACCAACAGCAACATGGATCAGGTATTCCGCACCTCACGCGGATGCGTTCTGAGGATCTCCGCAGACCACAATTCCAGACGTTACAAGCAGCCAGAACTGCGACACGGGGCTCCTGCAGCGCCCGGCCCGGACGCGGTTCTGCTTTCATTCTGTCCGTGCGTTCGCGCCACGCGCAGAGGCGGGCGGGCGGTTCCCCGCAGCCAGGCCCCCAACGCGCACGTTCCCCACCGGGCAGCTGCAATCAGGACTACGCGTCACCCTCAGCTGAGGGCACGCACCGCAGCGACCCGTTCCGCGCGCCGGGCGGGGCGCGAGCGCAGAGCGGAGGAGGCAGCCTGGGGGGAGGGCGGCTCAAGGCCTCACCTCGCCGGCGGCCGCCGCAAGTGCTGGAGAAGGGCCGACCGCCCTTCTCGGGGAGCGCCGGCCCGGCCGTACCTGCGTCGTCAGCGATGTGCCTCAGGACGTCCTCGTCGGGCACGAACTTCACCTCCAGAGCGCCGGCGCTCCGACACTCTGCCAAGCTCATGGTGGGCGTCCGGCGAGCACCCCCGCCTCACGCACGCGGGCCGCCAGGGGGCGCTGCCGCCAGACGCCCGCGGGGATAAGCGGCAGCGACCGCCCGTCGCAGGGCCCGGGTCCGACGGCCTGGTCTTTAGGCCTCGGGCGCCTGCCTCCTCTCCGCCCTCACCGCAGGCGGCTCAGCACGGGCTCCAGACCGCACCTCGAGTCGGGGGAAGGAGCCCGAAGCGGGTTAACGTGCCGGCCGACCACCAAATCCGGCGCCCTCCCTGAGAGTGTGCGGGGCGCCCACGCTGTGAGGACAGCCGCCTGCCTTTGACCGACGCACGCCTCAGCCAATCCGCGACCCAGGACCCCGCTTCCCGCCGCCTGTCGGCGGGAGAAGCGAGGGGCGGGACTTCCGCTGGCAGCCACGCGTGCGGCCGCCAGCGGTTGCCGTGACGACGCGAAGCCGCCTGAGGAAGGCTGGGGTCCGCAGCGTTATCGGCCCTCATCAACGCCGCTCAAAGTATAAAAACAAAACCAACTCCGAGCAGCTCCAGTTCTGTTCAGAAACAGCACAATATTTATTTAACATCTTTATATATTTATATATATATAATTTTTTTTTTCTGCATTGCAGATTGTGTCGAGTTTTATACATCTCTATTTACAATGATTTAAAATAATTATATTTCATCTCTGGCAGGTATTTACAGAGTCAACAGTAACTATGCTTCACATTTCAACAACAGTCAACAGCATTACCCAGTTCAGTAAGACAGTAAGATAATGGCTTACATGCACCAATAACACGATCTTCGCTACGTGCCATCTTCAGCTCTAAGAATGAGGATTTCCCTGGTCCCAGGATAAGGGGCATCACACAGCACAGCTCACGGCCTCTTGAAGCCCGCGTGTTCCATCCCTCCCAGCACCTCCTGCCCAAAGGCCCTATCCCTGCCCCGGGCCAAGCCCAGCTGTCTGCACACACGGGACGTGCTGCTCACGCTCCTTGTACAACAGAGATCAGAGTACATCGTGTTAAAGTAGTAAAAATCCTCAGAAAGCTTAGTTCAGAGAAACAAACCTGGTATGACAGAAAAAGTAGGAAAATAATCTTTTAACCCTTGCAGAGCGTTTCTTTTTGCTAGTAAAATCGATGGCGTATCCCGTGTTCTTACAAGGACAGTACAGAGCAAAAGAGTCGTTGTAAAATAGAGGAATTACAAATTTAAAAAATGCAGCACGGGGTACCTCGATTCAGGTCTCTATAGCAAAGAAAAGCTACCCTAGTAAATCTAAAATGTATTAAGAGTATCTGATTTAATTATTAAAAATCTTTATTAGCTTTTTTTCCTGGAATCCTCGATATGGAAAAAAATGTTAAATAACTCAATTTTATTTAATCGTACATTGTTTCTTCATAAACAAACCAGCCAGTTATACCCATCCTAAAAGTATGCACTTTCTGCAAGTAAACAGTAAGAAGTCTTGTTTCAAAGTATTCATCGAACACCGGCACACAAAAAACACATAGACACACCCCAGTACTATCTACTAAAAAGCTTTGGGAAGTGGTTTATCTAGTTAGTGATTGCTAACTCACATCTACTGTATACTTCAAGCCATAAAGTTTCTAATACTCAGTTTTTTCATAAACAGCATGAAAGTCTAGCACAACAACAGGAACCACATGAACAAAAAGGACAGTGTCAGAAGCCAGTACTTGTCACCCCCAAGTCCCACCTATTTTTGAACAAAGCCCTTTTCTCTTTGAAAAGGTTGCTTCATTCATACTAATTTTTCTCTTTTCAGATCAGTTCTGGGGAGGATGAGGACTATAAAACACTGGGAGCTCACAACCAGATAACTTCTTAATACAGCTTAATCAACTTTTCCCATTGTGCACAAGCTAAAATATAGGCCAAGGTTTTACTGTACAGACACAAAGTTTTACTGTACAAGTGTTCTCACACAGCAGCTCCTCACAGGAGTAGCTTAGTAATCCTTTATGATAGAACCAATAATTTATGGACCTACTTTAAAATTCATTTTATCCCTAAAACTACTTTAAAAATCTGATGAGTACAGTTAAAAAAAATAAAATCAGAAGTGTTTGTTTCTTTGATTCTAAACAAAATAAATGATAGAGATGGAAATTACTTTCTTTTTTTCTTCACAAAAATCTCAAGTAAAGTCACATAACACGAGACAGATTTTTACTAAACCTATTCCTGGCAGCTGCGAGGTACCTTCAGGCTTCTAGAGCTTGCTTCTAATGCATTACCTGATAGCAGGCCTTGACACTTGCCAAACTTACAAGGTAAGTTTCTCAGAAATGGCTACCTGTTATGTTTTGAAAATTTGTTCCATGATTTGGTTTATTTTAAAATAAAGTCTTTTAATGACTAAGTGAAAATCATTATACAGATCAGTCTTGCACAATCCATTTACTTCTTGCCTTCATAAACTATTGATGAACCAAGTTGCTCACAGCTCTCTGCTGTTGTCCATCATAGTTTAAGAAGGAGGTGAGTATTTCAGCTCTTCAGCTGATCATAGCATGCAGATTTTGACAGACTGATGTATGTATTCACAAATACAATATCCATGCTGGGATCTGTTCCCCCAAATCACCTACCAAACAGCTATTCAGAAATGAAATTTATTCAAGAGCCAGTGGGAAAACGAACTAACACTAGGTTAAGAAATTAAGAGAAATTTATCTTAATTTAGTAAGAGAAAGAGAAATTAAGGCCTGTATATCAGCAATAAGCAGCATTTCAAATACTGGAGAAAATTCAAAATATGGATCAATTTTATTAACGCCAAGAATGCAATGCAAGTACAGAGGATTAGCCCTCCACTTTTGATGCTTGAAGAGGACTGATAATTTATAACTTCAGTTCAGTGATCGTCCTAAACAAGCATTAAAAAAAAAAAAAAGCAAGTTTATTGTTCTGATACAAACTATTCCAATGATGTAAGTGAATGTTACAAATGAGACCTAGCTAACATCCCATATGAAACATGCCAAGGTAACAATATCTTTAGCGGTGACAGAATTGCAAAATTTAAGGATAAGACTTACAGATCTACAAATAACAGAAACATCTTTTCGTTCTGTATGCAGCACATACATTCCATTCAAGTAAGTTCCATTATGCTTTCCACACCTCCTCCAGGATTATGAGTTCAGTATCAAGTTTGTACTGATTAAGAATTTTACTCAAAAAGTTATTCTTGGTTACTACTTGGTCTTCAAATTAACTTAAATTTGTAAGCCAAGTCAAACAAAAATTTCCGGCCTGTGACCGAAATTAAAACACTGGAACACTTAAAAGAGAGCCATTGTTTCATGATAAAATAGGACAAATTTAAAATTTAGGTTAAAATAAGCCATAGCATAATCTACACCAAAATTAATTTTTGAAAATATAATTCTCTGAACATGCTATACATTAAACATTGAGGAAAATCTCCCTGGAACTAAAATTTTCCAGGAAAATTAATTATATTCACTAAAGAAGTAAAACAAGCCACATCTATCTGGAGACAGAAAGGGGTAAGAGTCGGGGCCACCTTTCTACAGAGCAGCTTTACCACCATTAAGGTGCAGGTTTCCCCCTTAGTCTTGAAAAATATGTTTATATTTACATACAGTATACACACAGTTGAGGCAATTGATTGTCAACACGTGACAAATGTATGTACCTACCCACACACAAGTAAACCTCACATGGTGAGAAAAAACCCTGTCCCAGTAAACTCCAGTATTCATAAGTAGTGCAAATAAATAAGTTGTCAGAAAACAGTTTTTTTTCCTCGTAATTTTGCTGTCAGAACAGATGACTAGCTATGTTCAAGCTAGCAGGAGTGTGTTGGAAATGTTAGATTTAGGTAATTGAGACCAACACACTAGCAATCTACAAATAACTACTTCTAATGCTTACTGGCTGCAACATGATGTTCAGCATTACAGAATGAAGTACGCTGTTGAAAACTTCTTCAAACACATCAGAAAGTTGTATTCAAAGAAATTTGCATTTAAAACAAACAGTGAAAGATAAGAAAGTGAGATAAAAAGTCTCCAAATTAAAAGCAGCAAGAATAACAAAGCAACTTAAAACTTCATCTTGCCACATTCATTCTAACAGATACTTTCACTTCATCACTTTGTGGCCTGCAGGATGAAAAACAAAAGGGATCAACATTGAACCAAAAAGCTGCTCATAAAAACCTCCTGAAAAGGAGAACCAAAGTCTGATTTTAGCAATCTTTTCAAAATTATAAAGCCAAAGAAAAATGAGTTGTAAGATGGCAACATAGTGTAACATGGTAAAAACTGTATCAAGGGATAATTCATGTATCCCTACTTACATGTGTATAGACATCTACATACAGTACCCACACTTCCTCACCTAAGCATTAAAAATATCTGCACACACATGCGTGCACACATGTAGTGTTCTGATTTTCAACCCCCTTTTATAATGATGCAGCTGCACTGAAATATTGCAGAAATTTCAATCTAGTGCCTTATATAAAGTACCAAATGTTCTGAAACGTGACACAGCCAAGTGAATTCAGGATAGAGAGGTTTAAGTTCAGATATTTGTCACTGGTATCAGAAAATTAGAACACACTTTTTGTTAATATTTAACACACAGTCAGAAAGCTAGCAGATTATTCTCTCAGCCCAGATCCTGGACATTTCTAATTTCATTACCACCGCAGTACTTTGAAGTGTACTGAATGTCACTATACGAGGTTTTGCTACAATCTTCACACACCTTGGTATAGTCTGAGATGCCAAGAAGGATTACAGGTAGGTGTGATGCACAGCACTGGCAGAGACTGCTATTACAGCTGGTTTGCAGGTCATAGTGACACCTCATTTTCTAAGACAGATGTCGATCAGTTTATGTCTGGAAAATGACAAAACTTCTCAGAAATGAAACAACGCACTCGGGATAATTTTGGTAAGTTACAGATGCTGCACATCAGCACATAGCAAAAAGTATTTTTTTTAATAGAGATGAAATTGAACCCTTTTTAAAGCTCTAAATGGGGTAGGTATATATATATATTTTTGGTTTGTTCTTATGTACGTGTATATACATGTACACACATGAACAAACCAGAATAAAATGAAGTGAGCTATAACAAAAGGCACATCATCAAAATGAGGACTGCAAAAAACATCTTGATGTGTAGTTTAGTTGAACTTTTAACTACTTCAAATTGAGGCATGTATGTTTGATTTCCCTATCTGAAGTCACTGGGCTGTCTTGCTTTCCTGAAATAGTGTAATAGTGTGGAGCTCCTCCCTTCAGAGTATAAAATATTTG